AGCAATAATTTATTTTTTAATTCTTATACTTAGTCTTTTTTTCTTAAAATAAATCTAAAAACCACAAAAATCTCCATGTATCCATTATTTTAAAAAAAAGTTGTCGCAAGTAGTCGGATACTTTAAGTCTCTAAATATATGTTTTAAAATTATGTATATGTTTGTAATTGTGATTTTAATCTTTACAAGAACTGGTTCTGGGAGGGAAAGTTTGTAGATGTACTTTACTTTAGATACAAGAGATTTGTTTTAACCGAAATAGCTGTTATTTACATTTGAAAACTGCAATTACTCGGTTATCAAGCTGTAAACCTAAATCAGCATTCAATTTACTTTTTTTTAAAGATAAAAATTGAAAAATTCGATTTTTCTAATGGTGAAAAACGTCTTGGTGTCCTTAAAAAATTTGTGCTTCATTTAAAACCACAAATTCATTCAAACCCATGAAGTATTCTTTCCGAGTCTAATTTTCTAACGTGTTTTGTCTTAAATATAGTCTTGGCTCATATTCTCATAGGACAGGGATATGCCTTGTTTCGGCTCGTAGACCACATGAAAGGAGTGGAGGATACCAGAGGGCAGCGTCTTTTTAAAATGATTGCATTCATTATAAAAAAATAATAGTTTAAGTATCGACTACGTTGGAACGTGATTTAAAAAACGCATAAATGGATATTTTCATGATATTTTAGTGTCATTAGATTAGAATACCTGTATACAATTATAGGACATTTTGAAAAGATATTTAAATAATAATATTTTAGCAAAATCTTAGAATAATTTTTTCAAAATGTTCTCTTTGGTGAAAAATGTTTATTATAGTATTTTTTGCGTATATAGCTCCAGACCTCTGTACAGAGGCTCAACTAGAATTTTTCAAATATATAACTTAGAAGTGGGCTTATCCATATTTTACGACAACAGAGGGAAGCAATTTTAAGAAAAAAATGCCAATAATTATATATTTAAATTGGTGGTAACTCTGAAAATATGAATTTTTCAAAAATTCTAGTTGAGCCTCTGTAGAAAGGTTTGATCCATATACAGGCAAAATATTATTTTAATAGAAGCATTTTTCACAAAGGAGAAGCATTTGGAAAAAAGATTATTCTAAGTTAATTTTTTCCCAAAATATTGTATTTAAATAATTTGTTTTAGTCAAAATGTCCTTAAAACAATTTTATACATGTATTCTAATCTAAATGACACTAAATATCATGACAATTATGCGCTTTTTTAAATCACGGTTCCGAACGTAGTCGGAAACCTCAAGTTAAATAGAATAGTGACAGTTTTATTCAATTTATTTGTGTTAATTTCATATTGTCTATCACTGCAATCATGTTTAATTTTAGAATTAATTTAAGGAAACAAATGAGCCCTATCAAACTTCTATTTTTTAAAAAATCCGGAGTCATATTGCTTACTTAAGGGGATAGTGGACCTTCACAATGTCAAATTTTGGTCAAAATTGCAATTTGAAATAACAAATTTGTGCATGAGTTTTATAAAAAAGTTTAGCGGATCATATTGTGTTGTTTTGAATGCTTAAAATATGTGATAATTGGTAAAATATTTCATATAGTATAGAAATTTTTTTTTCATCAAAATTTATTCTGAATTTCAAAACCCTGATATATTTTGTTGTAGTTCATCTCTATACATAAAACTAAAGTTATGTACACATTTCAAAAACTAATGCGCAAGGAGATTTAAAGAAAAAAAAAGATCAGTTTATAATAGTTATTTTTTAAAAAATATATACTTAAACTATGAAATTTAATAATCATTTACTATATTGGTTCCATTTTAAGCTTAATTAAGATAATAATTTGAGAAATTAGATTTCATGGTCCACCGTCCCCTTATTCTCAACACAGTCTGCACAGGTTTATGTCACACACACACAACCAACTTACATCTATAGTTACTCTTGTTGGTCTTCACGCAAGAAATACTTTGCCCACAAATATATGTCGACTAAAATAAGAACAATTTCGCAGCAAATTTCTTCATAAATAAAAATATTTCAGCTGACAAAGATTTGTAAAAGTCAATGGAATAGCAGTCAACATTTTCTTCACACTGTGATGTGACTAAGTCAATTAGTTCAAGCTGTATCTCCTCAAGTGCTGTATCAATATATGCAGCTTTGGGATAACAGAGCAGACTGAATTTGGGCTTAATTTTCGTAAAAACTTGTGAACTCGTCCTTCAAATTCTGCTGATGATCTCTTAGTAAAAACACTTTCAATTATTTTGTTTTCCTAATTGTGAAAAATAAAAGACGAATCTTTAATCGCGCACGTGAAAGAAATTTCAGTTCAAAGCAGATTTTTTTTTTTACTGTCTAGGCGAATCGTATAAATCTTTTCGGGGCACTAATTGCTATAACCCCTATCCATAGAACGTTCAATAATACTTCCTTTTGAGGTCATTATGATATTCAACCAATTATAAGAGGACACAGGAGATAATCAAATGGCAGAGTGACACTTGCGAATTATTAAGACATTTCGATCATTTTTCTCTTATTCTTTCTCCCACAGAATTTTACTGCAACTTCAAATACTTCCGCCACAGATTGTCCCGTTTCTGCTGAGCACTCAACAAGCCAGCTGATGCCGAAAATTTCTGCTAGCCATTTCACATTATTTTGGGTCACAGAATTAAATACCCAAACATTCAAATGAGTACCAAGCTTCCATTCACTTCTTAGATCCACTTTATTCCCCACCAAAATGCTTTTCAATTCTCCATCATTTCCCTTTTCAGACAAAAGTCTGGTGATAAAAGGCAGGCTGGCTGGATCATCGAAGGAGTAACAGTAGACAGCAATATCTGCACGATATTGAAGTTGCATTATATCGCTGTTTGGTGAGGGTGCTATTGTATTCTGCGACAAATCACAAATGCGAAGGCAGAAGGAATAACTGTCCAGTTGAAATGGAACTTGGTATGCCATGGTGTTTGAATTAAGCTCTTTGTGTATCAACACATCTCGTTCGTTGTAAGACGAAACGAAACTTTGAATTAAACGCGTCACGCCACATCTAGGTGCTCCAAATATGTGAATGTTCACATAATTTAGTTGATTGATCACAGGGAATCTTCTACCCATAGTCTGTAATAATGACAAAGTTTCTAACGAAAATATGAATTTATGAATATAAACAACGTTTGAGTTTTGGTCATGAAGAGGAATACATTATTTGCCTCCAAGATAAAAAATTTAAGTCGAAATGCAGTCAACTTAATTGTTTGGTTTTTAAATCTTGTTTGAATTAAATTTGTGCACACACACACAATCGCAGATAGCGACCGTGGTAGCCTAGTGCTCATAGTCACGGACACGAAGCCGACGTGTCTTGATTTGGAGCCGTACTAACACTGAAGACCCTCAGAGTACATGGGTTCGATCCTGGTGCCACTGAAGATTTGTCGTATAGAGGGGTCGATGGTCGTGGCTCAATGTTCTCCCGTTGGTATGGGGTTCGGTGAGTGGGATGCCTCTTCTGTTGTCATCCTCGTCACTTGGCCATGTCTCAGGTGAGTGAGTGAATATTTAATTCGCACTTTTTAGATACACGAAGGCTTTTGGCGGGAGACCTCGTAATTTTGAACCATGGTCAATTGACGAGGATGACACCTGAGCTTGCAACCCCTCTCCTAACTATCACACCACACCAACGGGAGGATTTTTGAGCTCTCGACAGATTTAATGTGAATCGCTCCCCTGCACGGCGGGTCTTTAGTGGTACTGGGCTCGAACTCGTGACAAGCCAGCCACGATCCCATACCTTGACCACTAGGCTACCGCGGCTCCTAGACATGGCTCAAAATTACGAGGTCCATCGCCAATAGCCCTCGGGTTGCTTTATAGAGCGACATTAATATAATTCTCCTTCTTATTCTCTCTCGCCACTGTAGATGGGCTAATGCATGTTAACTCTGCCTAGGCTCAATGTATTCGCGATAACGTAATGGGGTAATTTGTAGATGGGTTGCCATCACTTGTCTCGTCCTCGTCATTTGCCCGAGGTTCAAAATTATGAAATCCGTCATCAGTAGCCCTAGTGTTGCCTTACAATTACGTTAATAAAAACTCACTCCCTCAAGCTATAGTGGCAGCGGTAGCCTATATGTCAAGATTACGGACTCATTGCTGGCGTGTCATAAGTTCGAGCCCAGTACCACTGAAGATCTACCTTGTAGTAGAGCGATGCACGTTAAATCTGTCGAGAGCTCAAATGTCCTCCCGTTGATGTGGTATGCTAGTTAAAGAGAGGGTGCCAGCTCAGGTCTCGTCCTTGTTCCTTGACCATTGTTCAAAATTACGAGGTCCGCCCCTAAAGGCCCTCGAGTAGCTGAACAGTGTGACGTAAATATTCACTCACGCTATGGCAGGTATATGAAGACTATTGGTGAAGAATGTAATTACTAGCTTTTATTTAAATTGCATTGTAAAATGTTCGGGTGGAATCTTGCAACTTAATTTTGAAGCTGTCTTTAACCGATTGAGCTGAAATTTTGTATACAAGTTTATTTTGGAAGGCAATGCATGTTTTGACCTAGTTAATGTTACGATCTTGTTCGGGTGTTAAGGTGAGCATGTTTACAATAGTAAAGGTGCAGACCGGGGGCGTAGCTCAGATGGTAGAGCGATCGCTGAGCCTGCGAGAGGTACGGGGATTATCCCCCGCCTCCAATTATTATTTCTTCGTGTAAAATATTTTGAAATTTGTTTGATTTGTGTACAACGAGACAGTTGACAATATTTCCACTCAACATACGTACAAAGTACGTCATATTTTTGCTGTTCTAGAGGAAACAGTAAGAAAGGCAGATCTATCAAACTATTTCTATTTACTTTGAAACATTCTATGTATCTACTTACTCAATTCTAGTTTCTCCCGTAATACTTTTAATTGACTTAGTTACTGTAACGATCTTGTTCAGGTGTTAAGACGAACATATTTACAATAACACAGGTGTCGACCGGGGGCGTAGCTCATATGGTAGAGCGATCGCTTAGCATGCGAGAGGTACGGGGATTGATCCCCCGTGCCTCCAATTATTATTTCTTCGTGTAAAATATTTTTGAAATTTGTTTGATTTGTGTACAACGAGATAATTCACAATGCTTCCACTCAGCATACGCACAAAGTATGCTACATATTTACAAGCTTTTTTTTTAACTTGCTATGTAATATGTTCAGGTGGAATCTTGCAACTCAATTTCGAAGTTGATGTCTTAACTGATTGAGCTGAAATTTTGTATACACGTTTATAGTTTGGATTATAATGCATGTTTTGACCATTTATATTCCAATATCGTTATTAGTTAAAAAGACTAGCTGCATGGCCTGACGTTGCACGGGCATTCTCTACTTTTATAAATTTTCCCTTTCCTTCACAAAATCAGCACTTCTAATACTCTTTTTCAAAATGACTTCCACTTCCTCCGCTTAGCCCTGCGTTGCTAAGCTTTTACCGAGTGTATAAGTTAAAATTCTCCGTTTCGAAATTTTTTTGTTTTTCTTTGTCAAACAGGTTTATACAACCCCTGGCATTGCACGAACATTTTTAAATGCATAACATATTGTCATGGAAATTCCCCTTCCCCTTTCGCTATCAGAGCTCTCGATTAAGTGACCATTCACTGATTCTTAAGCAGCTTGACATGTGCAGCCATATAGTGGCACAAAAAGTCATGAATTATTGCAAAAATGATATTCATAAAAAAGTTTTTCGACATTTTATTTTTTAAATCACTAATTGTAAAAGATAAAGGTATGAGTTTTTTAAAATTCCTTTTCATATAAACGAATCGATATTGATTCATTTTAGAAAAGATCATAAAATATCTAAAGTATTGTTGTTTTGAAAAAAAAACATTCTGTATCGTGAAGAAATAAATTATCTTTCCAATTACAAAATTGCGCGAATAAAATTTTGAGCATTTTTTAAAAAAAAATCATGAAAACTAAGCAATGATGTTGTTTCCAACCCGGGTACAAAAGTTACTAATCCAGCGCTCTAAGTGACCAATCCACGAATTCTTTGGAAAAAAATAAATAAAAGACCGTTGAAATAAGAGGAAGAGATATTCAATTTGGCATTGCGTAATTTGTTCAAGTTAAAAAAAAAATTTCGGGTTTCATTTTTAAATTAATGCCTTCAAAATTCATATATCGATTACAAACAACGGTAATTTTTTTTAAAAAAATGTAACAAAAATAATGCTTAAATATTTCCATCAAAAAGGGAAAAAAACGAAAACACAATGTTTTTTTCAAACCGTAATTTTTAAGAAATTTTTTCAATCTTTGTACAGTTTACAGATAATATTGTTCTACACACGGAAAAAAATGTTTCATGAGATTATTTTTATAAAAGAAATTATAAAGTATTTAAAAAATAAATTTTGAAAAATCGTAAAAAAATGTTTTAGGCATTTTATTTTTTTTAAATGACTGATTTTTAAAAAGAAAAGCATGAATTTTATTGTGTAGAATATCATTTCATTAACGTGAAAGAAAATGCAATCGGAACGATTTAGAAATTATTTTCATAAAAACGTATCGATTTTGACTGATTTTAGAAAAAATCGTAAAAAACAGAAAATATCATTATTTTGTAAAATAAATTATACCGTATCATGGCGAAGTAAATGATCTTTCGATTCTGTAATTATTTTTTGTCTGAGTGTCATAAAAAAAAATTAGATCTTGTTTTATAAAAACGCCTGGGATAAAAAAAGGTCGGAAAATCGGAACTTTGCTGACTGGCGAGGAAAAATGGCAATAATTATGCGTTTTAAGTTTTTAATTAATATCTTTTTAACTAATTGCACTTTTGGAATATAAATGGTCAAAACGGATTCCTTGGATCATTCCCAATCGTGCGGTTCGGGAAAAGATACACCTAGTCTTATAGTCGCATACGTTTGTTTACCTTCGAATTTCAATAGTGTAGATATTAATTCAAGTAATTTTTCGGATGGAATCTTGCAAAACGGTATAATTCTTTTTAAAAAATAATGATATTTTCTACTTTTTACATTTTTTTCTAAAATGAGTCACAATCGATGCGTTTTCATGAAAAAGATTTCTAAATCGTTCCGTATGAATTTTGTTTGTGTGTTATTAAATCAATATTCTTCACTAAGAAAGTTAAGGCTTTTCTCTTTTAGAATCAGTCATTTAAAAAAATAAAATGCCTAAAACTTTTTTTTCACAATTTTTCAAAAAATACTTACATTTTAATAAAACATTGAAAAACTTCGTCATTTTTAAATATAATCGCACAAAAATATTTTTTCGCCTGTAGAATAGTATTATCCAAATTCTGCACAAAAATTGAAAAAATTTGGTTTGAAATTACGGATTTAAAAATATAGTATTATAGTAAAAGCAAAAAAAAAAAAGTTTTAATATTTTAATTAATTTTGTTTTGTCCAATGTTGTTTTGGTCTAACAGTGTTTATCCCCCCCTTTCCATTATCCTCTTTTTGAGGCCCGAGTGAAATATCTATCATATATATGTGGGCTGGCGGGAAAAAAGGTTGAGTACCCCTTAGCTGGACTGTTCAAAATTAACTGGCAAACGACCTTGCAACAATAATGCGTTGAATGAGATTAATAGACTGAGAAACCTCTGACCAGCGATGACTAAAAAGTAAAAAATAAATTAAAAGTAAAAAAATTTAAAAAACAAGCTTTTATTTAATGCTCTAAAAAGAATAAAATAAACTTTTCTTTTAAAACATTTTTTTGCTATCAACTTATAAAGTTGTTACACAATTTATGATATAAAAGCTTGTCGCGAGATTTACCTGTGTAGATAAACAAGCAAACTAAATAACTTGATCTGATTGATTTTAATTTTAAACTTTTCAAACTAAGTAAATACGAGTACTAAAATCTCGCGATCAGCTTTTGTATCATAAATTGTGTAACGACTTTATAAGTTGATAGCAAAAACGTTTTAAAAGAAATGTTTATTTTATTCTTTTTAGAGCATTTAAATAAAAGCTTGTTTTTAAAAAAGTTTTTTTTTTTTTTGCTTTTAATTTATTTAAAATGTTTTTTAAAGAGCTCTTTTAGTCTTATAACTCTTATATTCTTTTATTCCTATATTCTTATAATTTTTTTTTATATTCTTATATTTTATAACGCATATGAAATAAAATATTATTTATTGTGTTGAATAGTGCATATAAGTTGTTGTACACCGTTTTCATATTATTAATAATTTCAATTTATTAGTGTCTATATTTTTTTATCTTTTAAAAAATGTATTTCATTTATGCAAAATTTTGTGTAACACTATAAGGTATTACTACGATGGCGTCATAGTAGATTTTTATACAAAATTAGTATTTTAATATTTGTGTGATACCACATGTATTTTTATATCTACTATCTTATTGTTTGATATGATATTATTTTTTCCAATATAAAAATATTTTTGAAAACATTATCTGATAGCTATAATACGAATCTATTATTTTGAAGGAATAGGAGGAAACACAAGATCTCTTATTCTGGATGTTGAATATAGTTTTGTGAAAAAAACTAATATATATTCATTTATGCGTCTTCTTTTTTATCAAAATATTTTGGGGGGTGTCATTACTGTGTTTGTTGTCATAGTTCGTTTATTTTAAACATTATGTTTTTTGTATTCCTATTACTTAAATATTTCTATTTGTGAAATTTGCGTTTCCAAATGATGTTATGTATTGTTTTTTTTTTTGAAAATTGATTAAGTTTGAAAAGAGAAAAAAACCACACCCCCCTTTCCCCCTTTTTAAAAATTGGGGGGCAAATGTGGAAATTAAATTAGTTTAAAAAAATTAAATTCCCCTATCTATCACTTAACTCATTTTTTTTCATTTCTCTTAAAATTTCAAACAAATCACCCATTTATTTTTCCGAACATAGGGCCCAAACCATAACATGTCTAATTCAATCGTTATATTTAATAGCCTATATGTCAGCATTAATTTTCAAGTACAACCAAAAAACCCGAATTCCCCATGGTGTTTTAAGGTAACCCACTTAAAACACACCTGGCTTTTTCCTCCCCGCTCTTAGCGTCAGAAGAGAGAGAGAGAGAGATGTACTAATTCTAGAATAAAGACCTTTTAAAAACTAAGTCTGATTCTGGCTCAAAACATGTTATATATATGACTGTATAGGTTCTAGTACTTCACTTTTATTTTATATATATATATATATATATATATATATACAGGGAGAGAGTGAACTATTTGAAGGAATCGAAAAACGACTATTTCTTGTTACCAGTATTTTAATGGACAACTAGGTGTTATTTGTAAGCTCATTAAGAAAAAGGGATTTGGGGATTTTGTGTGTATATTTTGTACTTAGCTGAAAAAAGCAAGGCCATAAGAAGAAAGCTGGAGTGGATAAAAATAGCTTAAAACATTGGCAGAATATTTTTTTTAAACCTCTAATATTTTCCGCTTTCTCTAAATTCCATTGTAGTACAAGAGAGTTGCAATCCTTCCTCAACGTAAATGAATTTCAACTTACAGTAGGGTAAAAAGCAGATTTTATATTTTGAGCAATACAACTCTCCACTGAAAAAAATGCCTACTATTTTTCAAAGTCTATTACATTATTTTTTAATTCTTTAATGTATACGACTACGTTCGGAACCATGATTTTGCAAAAGCGGGTAAATGGATGGAACTCATGACATGTCAGTCACGATCCCAGACCTTGACCGCTAGGCAACCGCAGCCCTAAGAGCTTGAGAACCTAACTACTAGGCTACTGCTGCCTTTCCTTTATCGACGTAAGTATGGAAATGGGATGATTTTGAAGAAGCGTATAAAGGGATAACATTTTTATGATATTTAGTATCACTTAGATTAGAAATATTTAGGATATATTATATATATATAATATATATAATATTTAATATATATAATATTTTTAGATAATATTCTTAAAATTGTTTTAAGAATATTATTACAATAAAAATTATTTAGGTACAATATTTGGACAAAAAATGAACACAGAATAACCCATTTTCAAAAT